GTGTCGTCGGCAAACTTATTGAGGGTGCACTGAAGATAACAAAGGCTATTTAAGCAGAGAGGACTTTAAGTTGCTATAGTAATGTTGTTTGGTTATAAACCCTCAAAAGTATATATGTTTTCATGTATGTTCTGAAGATCGAGTGTATAAAGATGTCTCACTACTGAGAACTCTGTGTGCTCACTGGTCTGCAGTAATTGGAATGAATTATTTTAGGTTTGGTAAACAAAATATCTACAGATTCTTAAAGTAATTTTCGTGTCTGGCTATATCTACTTCAGAATAAATTCATCAAACCCTTACTTTTCCTGCTGCAGAAGGGTGCATTGTATTTTATATGTGTAGAAGATATAGGAAGTGACTTACTGAGCTTGTTATTGATCAATTACTTACCTTTAGTAGTGGTACACTCAATTTACTTACTCAGTGGTTTCAGTAGATGTGAAACTACCACGTCCTAATAATAAAAATGTATTCTCAAAAATATAGCTGTTTTTGGTTTCATGGAACAGTTGAGCATTCTCAGTCTTAACTTTCCTAATATAAACCTGTACATGTATGAAAATCTTAACCTAATAAAGGCTTTTTGAGAGAAATCATGTGTTGCTACTCACAGGAAGCTAGATGGTAAATTGTAGGGCTTAGTGTAGTTCTGAAGTTATGTTTCTGTTCATGCACTGGAAGTGATCTCAAAGGGAGTATGAAGAACACACATGCAAGATTTCAGATAAATACACTTGTGTCTGTGTTTGTATTTCTCATGGCATGTCAAAACAGGCTTGACCAATGTCCTATGAATGTATTTAGCATGGAAATTATGGTTCATATTTCTTCTCCAATTTGATTAATCTTCCTCACCAAAGATGACTTGTGGCAAATATTTTTTTTTAACTTAAATACATGTTTTAGGAAAACAGCCTTAACAAGGTCATAAACAAAATTTTGTGTATGATCATTTAAAATAAAACTCACAGAAATGCTTTATTAAAGTGTGAAAGTGTTCTTCTCATACATTTCAGCTGTGAGTAAACATTTTCTTAGGGAACTAGGGTCACAAATGCTTAGCTTCCCCTTATCTATATTCTATCTATTTTTACCTTCATGTAAAATTTAGCTGTTAAATTCCCTGAAAGTTAATTCTAGTAGAAGTACTCAAAACATGCTTAAGGCCTTCCAACAAGACCATGTTCTGTGGATGAGTCACTGATAGCTCCTTCTTGGAAAGAGTAGCAGTGGAGGACTCCGGGGAAGAAAGGACGTGCAGGTTTAGTTATTTCTTCCTGAAAAGCTGCCAAGTCACACCTGCTGTGTCTCTAGGTAGTGCTGCGACCACCTGGCTGTAGGCAATTTTGTCTGTGCAGCTGCACAAAAATTAATTAAAAACAGTTGTTCCAGGGCTGCTTCTGTTTAGTGGTTTTGCTGGCTCCGTAAGTGGGCTCAGTTCCAGCAACTGTTGCTCTTTACCCGATGATTGCTCATTGTGAAGTACTAAAAGATCCCTGGGCAGAATTTTCTTCTCCACTTTTGCTAATGTGCCTTAAACTATGGTTTACAGCACAGCCACACGTTTTGCTCTTGCTGATGGCTAGGCCTTGTAAGTGTTCCTTTCAACATCTGAGTAGTTTTACATGTAGTTCTGAGAAACCCAACTTCCTTGGTGCACAGGGTAGAAACCAAGTGCAGAAGTTACAGCCCTAACCTAGTTCTTGAGCATGTAATTGTATATTTTACTTTGTTGTCAGAAGTATTAAGATTAGATACTATAGAGTCTCTGTATTTCTTGGAAGTCACTATGTCTTCGGAAGCCACTTGGAACAGCCCTGGCAAGGAAAGTACTTTCAAGGGCTTTTCCAAGAAACAGGGAATAGTGTGCTCATGCTACTTCTTAAGCTAAGGAAACTGTTTCCTCAACTATGGTAACAGGTTTTCTTTGTAGAAATGGCAATTACTGAGCATCATCAACTGCAGTCAAGCAACTGCATTTCTAGTAAATTGTTGCTGCACCTTTTTTATATCATATTTTCGTCTATAAATCAAAAGTAATACTAACTTTGACCACTAGATGTCATTAACGAACTCTTTTTCTGTAGGAGGTGAGTGCTAAGATTGTGAATCAAGTTCCTGCTCATTTTTCAAAAGAATTTGTTATAGCAATTCCATATTTTTTTTTATATGTTTTGTGGTTATTCGTAGAGATTCTGAAATTACTACTGCTTAAAATTAAGGCTTCTGAGACAAGTAACTGGGAAACCATGAAAACAGAGATTTACCTGATTTTTGCACTGATACTCTGTCTATTTGATATGTTTATTAGCATATAAAAATCATGATTTTGGGAAACTAGCAGCATTGTGGGAATCATGTTTCTGTGACACTTTTTTTTTTCTCTGAAAGTTTCAGTGATCCTCTTTTCCTCAAAATTTTTTGAACTGGCCTAAAATACTGTTGTATTTCAACAACAACTCAGCTAACTGACTGCATGCTCAGGTGTTAAGTGTTTCAAATGGAAAGGGTACTGCAGGAATAGTAGTCGTGAAAATATGTCATTTCCCCAGCTGAAGTTTCATTCCTGGTACTGTTACATTTCAATCTAACTAATAACACTCTTTTACACTGTGCCTGGGAGGGCAGGCCCCCCCACGTGTCCAACTCCATGCCTTCGCATCAGGACATGGGTAGGTTGCTGCTGCTGAACAAGGTGCTGGTAGCAGGGCACCCTAACATCCAGAGCACAGAAGGGTGGTCAGTGCTCAGGGCTACTTGCAACTTCCAGCTGCTCTTCTGGCACCTCTTATCAAAGCTTTCTAAAAAGGACTCCCTAGTCTATTTGTGTGCTGGACACCGTCTCTGTGAAAAGTGTTGCAGGCCAAATGGGACGCACAGTCTTAGCTTAACTGGCCACAGCACAGTCAGCTTCTCTGTTCTCCAGAATGCACTAGAAGTTGCTAACATTTCTCACACAAATCCTGTGTTTGATTTTGGGCCCCTCACAACAAGGAAGATGTTGAGGTGCTGGAGCATGTCCAAAGAAGGGCAACAAAGCTGGTGAAGGGTCTTGAGAATAAGTCTTGTGAGAAGCGACTGAGAGTACTGGAGCTGTTTAACCTGGAGAAGAGGTGGCTGAGGGGAGACCTTATCGCTCTCTACAGTTACCTGAAAGGAGGTTGTAGTTGGGTGAGGGTCTCTTCTCTGAAGTAACAAGCGATAGGATGAGGGGAAATGGCTTCCAGCTGCACCAGGGGAGGTTTAGATTGGTTATTAGGGAAAAATTCTTCAACAAAAGGGTTGTTGAGGACTGGAACAGGCTGCCCAGGGAAGTGGCTGAGTCACCATCCCTGGAGGTATTTAAAAAAGCATGTAGATGTGGCTCTTAGGAACGTGGTTTAGTGCTGGACTTGGCAGTGCTAGATTAATGGTTGGACTTGATGATCTTTATAAGGGTTTTTTCCAACCTAGGTGATTCTGTTCTATGATTCTATAAATGAACTGACTGTGGATATTTAAGAGGATTATATAATTTCATTTAATTTTGTAGTATTTTAGTGCTTATACATTGCATTTAGTTTGAACTTTTCGTTGCTTCTCGAAGTGACATTTCTTAAGAGCAACATTATGTAGATTAGCAATACGATAAAGTGATTACTAATTTGTAGCATTCAGGTTGGTAAGCAATAAAAAAGGTTCTATCAGTTTTTTTATACTGTTCCACTGTTTACTTGGATGAATACTGGAGTCTACACCACAGTTTAAAAAATCACAAAATCACAGAATGTCAGGGGTTGGAAGGGCATCTAGTCCAACCCCCCTGCCAGAGCAGGATCACCTACAGTAGGTCGCACAGGAATGTGTCCAGGTGGGCTTTGAAAGTCTCCAGGGAAGGAGACTCCACAACCTCCCTGGGCAGCCTGTTTCAGTGCTCTGTCACCCTCACAGTGAAAAAGTTTATCTTTTTCTGTATCTCTTTCTGTAACAAACCTCCCATTCATATAGTTCTGCCTTTTTAAACTTGTCCTTGACTTTGTGAATTATGCCCAGGCTTCTGTTTGTGGGGTCATGTGGCAAGTCTTACTGAAGAAATGGTTCACACAAAAAATGAAGTTGCAAGAGAATGTGGTTGCTTTTATCAGTAAGTTCCCTCATCCCTTTTGCCGCATGGCCCCTTAAGTATTTGTATCAATACATTTGAAGGGCATTAGGGAAGCTGGTTCTGTTTATTGTAGCCATTGATGCCAAAACCCCATGTTATTTAAACCACACCTTTACTTGTAAATCTTTTAAGTTAGGCAACAAATATAGAATAAAGATTTTTGCATGACTTTGGGGTTTTTTTTGAAGAGAACGGCCACATATGAATGCCTAAACTAAAAATAGTGAACTAAGATATAAAGATAGGTTATGGGTTTCTTAATACCTAATTGGCTTGAATATTTTTTTAAGATGACCTCTTTGTATGTTGAGTTAGCTTTATAGCCTGTTCTAGTAGCACATAAATTGCCAGCTCTCAAGATCAATGAATAGGCAGCACTCTATTATAGGAGTAATTCTATAAAAGGAAAATTGTATACTATAATTTTCTGTGCTTGTATGGTACTCTGAAAGAGAAAAAATAAATGGATAGAAAGCTTATATTGCTTTTTATGGTTTCACTTCCATAGTTATCCAATTGAATGGAAAGCTCTTCATGCAGGCAAGTTCGCTATGTTTAGGCAACCTCTGTTATTAACAAAATTGTGCATGTACAGAACCTAGCAGTTGAAAGCAGCAAGACTTTGTAATCCTGGAAACTGAGACTGTAACAGCTCTTAATGTATGATTTTTCAAGAAGAAATAAGAGAAACACTGGAAATCGTAAGCTCGGAGTTTAAGAACTGAATTGAGACAGCAGGTGGAGCTGACGGAGTTGTGCCTTTGAACCACTGCAGAAAGAACTGGATATGAATGAATCAAAAGAAGGAGAAGTGCAGAGCTTTTGTTATGTTATTTGGTAAAGAAAAATTCCTGCAGGATACAGTCACGTTGCTTTCTAAAGGAAACTAAATTGTTTAAAATGAACATAGAGCATATATTAGAAAGTTATGAGAAAAGAATATTTGTCTGTGTTTAAATATTGAGCAGAAATGGGATTTTGCAAAAAAAAAAATTATCTGCAAAATTTTTATGTCAAGATTTTTGCATGTTTCATAGGGAGGCCTGAAGTTTTAGGGGGCAGATTTTTCTTTATTAATTTTTATGTTTAACTTTGAGTTTAGAAAAAATGATCAGTTAAGAATTTGCAAACTTAGGTTTGCGTTTCAATTTCTTTCATTTTCAGTTCATTAGAAGGATAAGATAGATGTACAAGACTTTCATGTAGTATGAAAGTATAGAAGGAATAACCAATCCAGTTTTACATTCAGTTTTGTTATAAATTTCATAGGAATCTGTATCTGAGGTTATAGATTATTTTGGACTTCTCTCACTGCTGGGAATGCTGCCAGATAGATTGCTTATGCAGCATGACTCTTTATCCATGGCATCCAAGTGCCATTGACTTAGAATAGTCCGTGTTTCTCTTGAGTACAAAGAAACACAAGATAGCAGGTAACAAGAAAAAAGGAGAAGTAAACAAGCATTATGTACAAGTATAGAAAGAGTGAGAAGATTTAAACTATATTGAAATGTTATTATGATATGATCATGATCTAACTTTGAAGGCTATTATTTCAGTTTATTTATATAATTAAAATTATTCATAAGTAGTGGGCCACAGCTGTACATGTTTGTAAGGACAAAAAAAATGACTCTTTTTACAGGGAGTTTTATTTATATTTTACATTTTTCTAGGTCTACTTTTGGAAAAGTTTTTCAATCTCATGAGTGCAAAGAACAGTTATACAGTAATGGAACAAGGCAAATAATTACAGCTTTTGATGTACAAGGTAAGGTTTTTTTCCTAAGTTTTTGGAGTATTAATTTAATTCTAAAACAATTAAGCAGAAACAGAACATCTGAAAGAGAAATAAGCTAAGGTGAGATGTCCCGGATGCTTCAAAATTAAGTAAAACAGTACCAGATTAACAAAGATCGCAGTGATGTTACTGTGAATAAAGTCAGGTCAGCTGTGGTGTTCTAGATGGTAGCGCTGGATTGTCTGTTGTACTTTGAGCTCCTCCAGCTGTTAAAAGAAATCTCTAGCCATTCACCCTACCTACTTCCTGGTACTACCTCTCATTATTTCTCTGTTCCTCATATATCTCCACTCATTTATGCTACACATTTTATGAATTTCTGTCCCTGGTGATGTCTATAGATCTTTTTTACTTCCCATGATAGACCAATGAAAAGAAACCAAAGCAATGAGGATTTTTTTGTTTTTCTTGTTGGGTAGTAGAGTGGAGCTTTTCCATTCCTCCTAGACAGATGAGGATTTCCCATCACCAAACTGAAAAAAGGAAAACTTCATCAGGAGCCTCTGGGCTCATCACATTCAGATGATCCTTTGCCTTTTTCTTCCTGACCTGAGATAGGACTATGGTCCTTGAAAAGAGGGAAAGTGAAACATATGGTTGATCAGATGTTGGGATGATCAGATAAGCAACCACTCAGCTTTTTGCCATAAACTGTTATTTTTAGTGAGCTATTTCAGAGGACTTAACTCTTTCAAGCACTGTGCTTGTCTGCCTAGCTCTTTGCTGAACGCAGTCTGACAGCCCTGCGGGAGATGCTTTCTCTTCCAGTTGGGTCCGGAAGTGAATTCATACCCTCACTGACTGATCAGTTGATATTAGTCTGATGTAATGTATTCAGGGTCTTCAGTCTGCAGCAGCATTAAACCGAAGGAGAAATTTTTTATGAAAGAAAATCTGTGAAATAGTGCTCAGAATAACTAAGGTATCAGTGAAAATGATAGATTTAAAATGTAATTTTGCAGAGTTTAGGGTGTATCTTCAAAGTTTTACAAATCTGAAATTTTCGATCCAAAGTGTCTGGGTTTGAAAATAAAACTTAAGTTGGCATGGTACTTTTGAACAAGGTTTACAGTGGCAAAAAGAAATTGTCAGTGTAAAGTCTTACATTATCTACATAATGTAGCCACACTAAAATGTTTTGTGAATACAGTAACTTAAAGACTGTATAATCTTTTCATAAATATGAACTGATTAGCTAACATGCAAACATAATTGTATTAAGTAGTTTGAAAAAAACACCTTTTTTTTTCAACACCTTTTTTTTTTCCTCTTGCCTAATCTTGATTTAAAAAATAGAGGATTTTTGACTTTTAAAGATTTCAAGAGAGCCTTAATTTCTGTTTCTCATAAGTTATCTGAAAAAATCATAACTGAAGCCTTCAGGTAAGATTAACAAAGAGATCCTTATTCCTGCATAGCAGGCTTCTGGTTGTATATATTTCAATTACTTGAGATTATTAGATTCTATCATGAAGCTGAAGATATAAGCTTCAGCACATTACTCCTTCAGTGCCTTTAATAATAAATACTATAAATATAAATAATACGTGTAAATAGTGTAATTTATATAAATTGTATAAATAGAAATAATAAAAATAACTGTAATTAAAATAAAAATATTAACAGATACTGTTTCCTAAGAAGCCTAAAGTTATTTACTTTTACATTTTACTTCTGTAATCAGGAAATCTGCATTCAAGAGCTGTCTCTTGAAAAATTCAGTTAAACTGTAGTGCATACTGCAAGGCACTAACGGTGAGATTTCCTGCAAGGTGAGATTGGCTCAAAAGTGAAAGGATAAAATTTTGAGAGTAATTTGCAGATCATAAAAAATTAATCATGCCTCTGCAGTTGCCAGTAAACATTATTAAAAAATATATTTGGAAACCATTGCCTTGCAAAGTGTAAAACTTCCTTTTTGTGGTGTGAATGATTTGTTTGGAGCTAACTCAGTTAGTGAGAGACATCCTTCACTTTTGAAGATATGGCAAGACATAGCTTACTGAGTGGTATCTTTAAAAGGTGATGTTGCCTTTTGGATTGTTTTTCCTTTTTTGTGGTTATCTGGAATCATGGTACAAAGCGTTACAGCAGAACAGGAAAAATGGTCAAATACATTCAGCCCTAGCTGCCTTTTGTAAAATAGATCTGAAAACTTTTAGTCTATCTTTCTGGCAATGAAACTTCCCAATTTCAAATGTAAATTATATTAATGATGAATTAATTAAATGAAGGAAAGCTCAACCAAATGTTATGGTATACTGTGTATCTAGTAAATAAGACGTGTCACAGTCAGAAGTAGCTCTAATGCTGCCATATTAATCGGTAAATATCACACTCTAGCAGATGTTGCTCGTGAGTGCGTATTTATGAACGAGGTACAGAACCTGACGAGAAACATGGAAAAAATTATTTTTTGAGATGTTTTCGTGTTTCTTTGACTGCTCATGAAAGAAATTGCACAATAGTATCGTGCAATACAGATTTCTTTAGGACTGAACAGGCCAAGTCTGCATGAAACTCTTCAGAGTTGTAATTTCAAAACAGAGTCCTAAACCCACTTTTAGGTACATGTCCTTTCTGGGTATTTCTTTTGATGCTCAGTGTGTATGTTGAACTTTGTCTAGGGACTTTTGTCCTAAACTGAGCTGTACAATTGCATTTAAACTGTGTGAAAAGAAAGCCAGAGGAAATGTTTTGCGTGTAGATATTTGTCAGAAGCTTCAATATATTTGTAGTGCAAAATCCGTATTACAATAGATTGCTAAAACAAACAGAACATCATTTCATATTTGTAGATGTGTTCTTTATCCCCTTTTTAAGTACAGAGATAAAAATTAAGTTTAGGGACTGAACATGGTTTTAAAATACCTATTTTGTGTAATGTAAAATAATTTACAATACACATACGTCTTCAGGTATGATGATCTAGTGTGAGTTCTAAAGCTATGTCTACACTGGCAATTAAGACAGCCCATAGGCATCAGGTCTGTTGAGCACAAAGTTTATGCTGGGGACCCAGTGTCTGTATGACATTCATTGAGGGATTTATTCAGATTAATTCTAGTCTTGTCAACCGACTGAATGATCTCTGGAAGTTGGAGTGATTTGAGTGGATGTCAGGAGCACTTCTTTCCAGTTGAATTTCACCTGGAAAAAATGTGGTTTGTATACTGTGTTCACTACGTTCTTAACTGTAGTACAATCAGTAGGGAAGAGTGGGAGAATCAACTCAAAAAAGCATTCCAAATCTTAAGTAAAACACAGCAACATATTGAGATGAGGAAAGAAAAGCTTTATTTACACATTTCAGAGTTTTATGAAATTGTTATATGAAAGGGGTTTTTACGTTTATTTATAAAAGTTTGGTAGAAATGTTGTCTCCAAACCATGTCATCTACTAGTGGGTTCCTTTAATGTGGAAAGTTGCGTATATTATTTTCTTATACTTTAAATGAAATAAAATGTTACAGGATAAGCCAAGTCTGTGGTTAGTGTCACAAGGCTAAAAGGAAAGGGAAGCAAAGGAAAGTTCAAGTCACATACATAACACTCAGCTTCTCTAGTTACCACACAGAGCCAGGAATTATATTCTGCTAAAGAGTGTAATCCTCAACATATTTTTAGATATAAAAATGAAAACAAATGTATTCAAGCTACATAGAACACCAGGAAGTAGGAATATCAGTAAGTGATTTACAGTAAGAATGAAGGGCCCCACTGAAGTGATTTAGTTTTCAGATCAAGTAGACTTGATTTGTAGGTGTGCAAAATACTCATAATGAGGCATCTGTACGTGTTCAACTGATTTTCACAAACTTGAGACTTGAAAATGGAATTCTTGTATTTATCATTAATGTGTTTTATAAATGTTGAAATAGTCTTAGAATGTTTAATATAATATAGTAAGAAGCTAAAGAATAATGGATTATTTTTCTAACCTTCCTGTAAACAACTGTTACTCTCAACATGTTTTTATTGCTACAAGGGAGACACACCTGGTACATAAAGCCAATATTTATTCTTTACTATATACTAAAATCTTAGCAGTCTAGTCAAAGAATTATTAGTAGTACATATTTAAGAACTGCAGAAAAAAGAAAAATAAAATAAAGAATACCATGCTAGAAAAAGTTTCAGTGCGGTTAAATATGATATACACCTCCTAACATCTACTCATTTTTCTGTTGTTATTCTCCATCTTCTGCTGTCCCTCTCCTGACTTATTCACCAGAAAGAGTATGATATTTGTATTGATGCTTTCTTCCCTCACTCTAGCATCCACTTTGGATCATTTTTATATGTTTTACAAGACAGCCTGCACCTTCATTGGTATGCAAGCCCTCATTGCATCCAAATTTACTATATGTGGCACATATTACATATTTCAGATACTTGTTCTTTGCTCTTTGTCATCCATAAAACCATCTTTTGTCCAGCTTCTGTGTCCACATTTCTTTAACTGGCCTTTGATGACTTGTTTATAGTCTTGGTCCTCTGCCCTGTTTCTTAACATCCCATAACTGTACCGCTCTACTCTATATGCTGTGTTTTTACATCTGAAGGCCTCTGCTATTGTGCCAGGTCTCTTTTTCTACGTAATTATCTTAAACTCATAGATATTTAATTTTACATATAAGAAATTCTTGTTACTACTGTCTCTATAAAGCTGTATTTATACTGTATAAAGATTAGAAGGACAAATGAGACATGGCCACCTGATCCTTAAAAGAACTGCTCTTACAGATGAAACGAGTAAAATCTCCAGTTAGGTCAAGCAAATTCAGACCAGTTCGGACAAGCCTCAGTCCTCAGGTCTTGCAAACTCAGTAGAGAGTTTGTGGCGTGTTATTAACAATGGCTAATAAACTTTATTTACTGGAATACAGGGTTATGAAACACATGGTTAATATCTCTGCATTACTTTAACATCGTATGTTCTTTTATAAATGTGTAAAGATATAGTGAATTAATTTGAATTGGTAATAGAGCTCCAGGAGGGAGTGGTGGTGTTAAATGCTTTATTTTATGAGAAAAAAAATATGCCTCATTCAGTAGTGTTTCTAACTACAGTAAGTGAGTGGTTTGAGTTGCTTTGGTTTTTTATTTTGTTTTTAATTCCATGGGAATAGAAACAAACATAAATATATTTTATCTCATACCAAAAAAATAATATTTAATGTAGACATTCTTTCTCTCAAGGGACTGCTTTCTTATAAATGGCAATAATATACTGCACTTAGCTGTTGCTGAATTTTGCAAAATGTGGTGAGTTTTCAGTTTATATTTGACTGTATTAACTGACCGTAACTTTGCCTGGACCGTAGTGTAACATTTATTGTTTCTGAACTAATATTGCAGTTATATTGAACAAAATGCTCAAGTGCTTCTTGTGCACCTGATTAAAATGCCATTTTACCATAACAAAATCAACATTCTTGAGACAGGAGTTGCAGAAGTACCTCCTAAGGTAAATGGTGTGATGATACGTTCTTTCATGATGGGGCTTTTAGTAATGGGTAGCACACACAAAAACCTCTTTATAATAAAGCTGCTGTTCTGCACGTAGCTACCTGGATAGGAAATGTGACAAGTCCTTTGCAATAATAATTTGTGATAAATGGTTGACTGTAAGTAAACATGTTGTCTTCTAAAGTGGGCTTCAAATTCTTAAAAAAATATTTCAAACACTCCTTTGCTTTTTTGTTGTGAATATGAATGTCATATTCAGATTTTTCAATATTATTAATTAGTGTTGCTAAGAAAATATTTGTCTTAGCTGTACCGTTTGTTTAGAAAAAGTAGGTTATTTGTATGCTAAATCCTTAGACCATGATAATGGAAATAGTGGCAGAGGGAAGCTGAAAACCAATCACATGTGAATGTGAGCGAACTTGTAAATGATGAAAAATGCCTTACAAATCAAAACTGGACAGAAAAGTCTCATACAGTTTTTAAAGCAAGCAAGCATAAATCAGATCTTAAGAAAAGAAGGCGTTCATGATCTGCATTTCATGCTGCTGTGCCTTTGGATTGATAGAATCACACACTAGAGGCATATTAGTACTTTTGTACGTATTGGTACTTTCCATACAAAAAATGACCTAATTGTCTCGTATTTCTTTCATATAATTATCTAATAATGAGAAAATAACCTGCTTTTCAAAGCCACCCCATGGAAGAAATCTTATGCTCTTTTATACAAGTTTGATTTATAGACAAGTACTGCAGAGCACAGTGAATATGAGACATTCATCTTCCTATGGCTAGTTGCCATGGAAACATAGTACACAGTACAATGTCATTCCAGCTCTGGTGATGCCTGCAGTAGTTTATTCCTTTGTTGCTCTTGTTTCTTAAGCAACTGTCTTGCAGCCTTTCAT